AATTATATACCAAATACAACATTTGTATATCTCTACTGTAAAGCTTCGCCTTAACGTTAAATTTACTTTTTGACCTTTTTACAAACTCTAGATAGCTTCATTGCCTGCCCTAATTCATATCTCGAGCCAGGTACTGCTGTTATCCGAGGATCTGTGTCTTAAGCCACCTGCTGCCATAATTAGAGTTCCTAGGCTGAGTCCCATGAAAAAGTGCCATATTCATCCGTAAACAAACACGTGGTTGCATTCTGCTAATTTGTCTGAATTTGGGAAATAAACAATGCTGATCTTTTGGAGGGGGTAAGCCAAATTCCCACTTTTTGTTAGAAGACTGACGGGAAAATGAGAGAGAGTAAAAAGGAACCACTTGACCAAGTAAAAAGAGTACGGCTTAAAAGAAAAATATAATATTTTGTTGTTCCCTGTTCTTCTTTGAAGTAATGACCTAAGAGCTTTGTCAACGGCAAAAGAGAAATGTCTGGAATATTCAAAGAGTCCTCTCTACTACCAAGAATATTTATACAAGAGCACTTCCTGCTAGTTATCTTGTATAATAACGCTCTTGGCTTGCATGCCAAACACCCATATAGAGGAGTCCTGGCAGAGAAATCGTTGACCTCTAGGCAAACTGCTACGTTAGGCCACAACTCTCTAACAAAATTTCTGTTTTTCTTCGGTAGAAATTTTGGTTCAGATGATCATCGGGAAGAGTATATTGTTTGTTTATATGTAATGTATATATTAAATAAATCTTTTCTAATTATTTATATATATATTAACTAGAATGTGAGTATAAAATTATTTTTATAAATTGGAAATTATACAGTACAATAATTTACTGCTAAATAAAATTTTTTAATTATTTATTTATATTTTAAATTTAAAAAAATTGCAATTTTGTATTATATAACTTTATTTAGCTAATTCTATATATTAAAAGTTGTTATTAGCAAATTCTATTTTTTAAATCTAAATATATTTAGATTTTATACAAGTTCTATATATATGTATAATTAAAGATTATAGTAAATTTATTTTTTTAGTATTAGAATAAGGTATTGTCTTGTAACTTTTTATTATATATATTTAGTTAAACATATATTTTTTTTAATACAAATATTATATTATCTTTTAATCTGTATTCCAGGCAAATTTGCCTAGAAATTTGAGAAGTATTTACAATTTTTTAAATAAAATTAAAATTTATTAATAATATAGAATATATTTTATAAGTTTTATTATGGAAATTTTTTAATTTTACTAAAAATTTTTAGAGTAGTAAAAGTTAAAGCTCTTACTTTAAAAATTTTTACTAGAAATTTTTTTTAAAATTTTTTAATTCTTATATATTTTCACCTTTAAAAAAAATTATTTCTAATATAAATCATAATTTTGATAAATAAATTACTAAAGATATAATAATAAAATTTGTTATTCTTTATAAGAACTATAGGTTTAAAATTAATATTTAAAGAGTTTATCAAGAATTTGTAAATAATTTTTTAGTTAAAATTTTTTCTAAATTTGTTTATTTTGGCTTATCTTTTAATTTGTAATACAGACAAATTTGTTTATGTTTTATTAAAAATTTTAATTTTTTTAATAATATTAATTTTAGCAATATATTTTCTAAGTAAAATATTTAATCTTAGATTTGTTTTATTAACTTTATTAAAAAATTTTTTTAAAAAACTTTAGTGTAATAAAAGTTTAAAGTTCTTGTATTAAAATTTTTACTATAGAAATGTTTTTTTAGATATGTTTTTGGATGTTCTATAGAATAGGTGAGCAATATAAAAACTAAACTCTGCTAGTGATTAGTAATCATTAATAGATATTTAGCAGAGTTGCTGAGTTTGCGGAGTTTGCTCACCTATTCTATAGAATATCCATGTTTTTTACCTATAAAATATTTTTGCTGCTAAGTAAAGTTTTGATTTTTATTAATAGATTACTAAAAGTGTAATAATAAAAGTTGTAATTCTTTGTATTAAATATAATATTGTTTTAAGAATTATATATTTAAAATTGATATTTAAAGAATTCATCAAAAATTTATAAATAATTTTTTTGATTGAAATTTTCTTCTAAATTTATCATTTTTAGCTTATAAGTAACCTAAACATTTTTTCTTATATTATAAATTCTAATTTGCAAAAAAGTAATCCTTATTTACAAATATAATTGTACAAAGTTTTATTTAAATATTTTAGCATTTTAAAAAAGTATACCAGAGCTAAAAAAGTGCAAAAACACAAGTAAATTTGTCTGCATTGGTTTATATATTAAAAGATAAGCAACCCAAACTTTTTTCTAATAATATAAAATTAAATACTACTATAATATAATCCTTATTTTCAAATATTATCAAAAAATTTTATTTAAATATTTTAAAATTTAAAAAAAGTAAATCATAAGCAATTTTATAGCAATTTTCAGACAAATTTGTCTAGAATTGTCTATTGTTTAAAAAATAATAGTATATATATATATATTTCTTTTGATAACTTTGTACTAAAATTTATTAAATATTTAATGCTTACACTAGTCGGAATATGAACAATCGAGTATATGTCTTATTTTAAACTAATTTATGTCCGATTGATGTTAAATTGTAAATTCGCCGTATCGCCAATTGATACAAATTAATGCAGCAACCCAATTTGTATAAGTTTACAAAATAGACAATACCGATTAATATCAATTGATGGCGCAAATCGGCATGCAATAGGAAGAGCCTAATACTAACCTGATTTTAGCAAATTGGTTAATCCTGCATCACCCGAACCATCAAAAATCACTATGCAAACTAGTGTTTCGATCCATTATCCATTCATCTTGAATCTAATGATTGATCTAACGATTGATTTAATGTGTATTTTATGATATAATGGCGGTTGAGTTGATCTAACAGCTGATTTTATAGGCGCTATATGATATAACGGTTAATAGCGAATGAATTCTGTAATAGAATTTCATTCAATAACTTATGATAATTCCAATGAAACTAACTTTATTTTAACTACACTAGCACCTAGTCCGGAAATTGCCTAGAAAGTAGTTCAGTTTTTATCTTACAGCCAATTCGATTAAATTTGGGATTTCAGCATATGGTAACTAATATAAATATTATTGAACATACTTTCAAAGCATCTTCACTGAAAAATATTTTAAAAAAAATTTTAGACTATTATTTCGAAAGTTGCCAAACACTTAGTTGTTAGCATATCTTTTGTAAGTCAAATTCTTGAACACTTTCAAAAATTTTGGATGAATTGAAAAGCTCCGTCAATTTCAGAACCATATTCACTGATACAAAATATTTTAAAACTTTAATTAAAATATCTGAATAGTATTTGTGCTATAGTTAAACGTAAAATTAGTCTTACAACAAAATCACTACAAGTTCACACTTTAGCGACTGGTTCTTTTTTTGTAACGGCTGGCTTGAGCATTTGAGGCATGTAAAATTTGATTCTAATGGAAATTTACCAAAAAAAGCTATGTAGCTTTATTTAAACATAAAGTGGTACACTATCTTAAATTTTTTCTTTTAAAAATTGTTAATTCAGAGACAATTAATACAAAAAACTGCGCAAGTACTTGATGGGCAATCTGGTATTCTAGGCGATTTAAAAGATAACAATTTTCTTGATGCTGCATGTTGTCAGAAATCAGATCACACTTATTTCGTAATTTCAAATGGATTGTTATGTATGTTCACAGAAGATAGATTAATAGACAAGTGGGTTAGTTTGCATATTTGTGACCTTTAACATTCA